GGACTGGCTGAGTTAGACTAGGTGGTGCTGTGGGGTGAACTGGGCAGCAGGATGAGGTCTGGTCCAGCTATGTCTTGTATATTTCTGCCTTTGGGGCTGCACCCCACAGTCCCTTTGTACACCACACATACGCACTCATGTATGCATAGACTGAGGAACACCTCCATAAATGCTGCAAAGTCTCTGCTCAAGATGATTTAATATTAAATCTAGCCTTGTTACTAGTAACAGGGTTTTTTCTTTTCCTTTCTAAGTGATTTTTTTTTTTCTGGGCAGAGTTCTTTATGGAAAGCTTTTCTGACACCTTCAGTGCTCATATCTTGCATTTTGCACTTCAGTATTCACTGTAGTTAACACCAAACCTTTGTAGTACTGAGGTAAGCTAGGGTCTGATGCAGAATATGTACAGTTTCAGATTAATCACAGTTTTGATTTGTAGCTCTGACAATAGACAAGAGAACATATGCTCATATGCTTCTGTTAGCTCAGCTCTGGGGAGAAAATAGTATAACAGAGCACACTGGTGATTCACCCTTCCTCTCAGCTTATCTCCCATAGCCTCCAATGGCTGTGCTGGGCAACAGGGAGATCTCGTGAGTGCCATGTGTGACAGGAGTCTGGGCATGTATAATCACTGTAGGTCTGGAGCAAAATTCCTCTTCTTATTCCCTAATGCCCTTGGAGTTCCACCTGGCTACACTGGGTTATTTCCTCACCAGTGATGGGGAGTTGCTAGAGGTAGCTACAAGCTGCCCCAGGTTCACTCTCCCCAGCAGGCACAATGGAATGAAGAGGAGCCCTCTGGAAGGAAACAAAAGTTGTGGAAGTTAGTTTTGCAGAGCTGCTGCTATTTATAAAACTTGGCTGGCTATAAATGAATGGGAAGGAGGTAGGGTCTGTGAATTCAACCCCTGTTGGAGAGCAGCTTCATTCGCCACTGCCATGGTTGAATAGTGCCACACATGCCCCTTATCTGTCCATGTAACACAACAGATGCTTTCTATAGAATAACAAGTGAGCATAGCAGGGTAATTTCCTGGGCACTTACACAGTCTGTTTATTTCCTGATTCCCCATCACAACCACTACTGGAAATAGTTCCGGTAGGCACATCTCTCTGAGCTGAACAGTTTAAGCTGGCCCCTTGCTGTGACAGGGGGAGCATCTGTATCTGGGAAGAAAGAGAGGTTTTTTTCCCTACCTGCATCTATGGGACCACTTACATCCCTTTCCACCTCACATGTGCCTCAAAGTCACACTTTGTCACTGGCTTTCTCTCATGTTCTTTTCAAGTACCCATGAATTTACCTTCCTCCAACTGTAGCTGTGAGAGGAGCCAGGAGGGTGTCTTGTTTTTTCATCGCCTTCACTGAGGAAGCATGGAGGCTGTTGGTGTGGTAGTAGAGCCCGCAGCACGCACTTAGTAACTGAGCAAGTCCTACATAGATCAACTCAGAGCAATTTCTGGAAACAATCTCATACCAGGTGCAGTGATAGAAAGTCCTATTAATTTGTATTTAAACCTATGGATAGTATTAAGGAACCTGTTAATTTACTGCACCCTTCCAAGCATCCCATCTGGGTGGCACATTGCCCCACCACTGTTTCTCTTTATTTAAGTAATCCCAAGCCTCTAAAGTACTGTGCACAGCAAGGAGTTTCACAGTAGCAACCTGGGAGGAACAGCAGTGTGCTTCAGGGTGCAGAAGGAAATGTGAATAAATGAGCAGAAAACAGGGGTAGTCATCAGGTCCTGTATGAATTCGGTTTCTATTTCCCCTTTGCCCAGTGCATACCTTCCCCCTTCTCCTGCACCTTGTAAAGAGAAAAGGGAAAGGGATTTAGCATAATGAAAACAGTGCAGACAAAACCTCTGCAGAGCTCCTGTGAAGCATAATGAGAACCCATCTGCTCCTAGGCCTGCTGGGCTGTAGCTGGGGAGAACATTTACACAGATGAAGCTTGGAGAGAAATTCTAGGAAAGCAAAATTGAGATGTAAGGGTGGTGAGGCACTGGAATGGGCTGCTCAAGGAAGCTGTGAATGCTCCATCGCTGGCAGTGTTCAAGGCCAGGTTGGACAGAGCCTTGAGTGGCATGGTTTAGTGTGAGGTGTCCCTGCCCATGGCAGGGGGGCTGGAACTTGAGGATCTTAAGGTCCTTTCCAGCCCTAACTATTCTATGATTTTATGATTCTATGATTCTATGTATGGCTAAGGGGACACAAAATCCTCCTCTTCATCTTATGGACCCATGGGTTCACTAGCTATCAAAAGCTTTGCCTTCCTGTCCATTCTGGAAACCAGTCATACCCACTTCTTAACTTAAAGACTTCTCTGTCCAGGCCACTTTTACCAACTGCAACGGTTAACACGTCTTTGGAAAAAATCTGCAGCCAGAACATGTTTATCTTCTCCTCACACTTTCAAAAACGATTGTGTGGAGGAAGGAAGCCTCCCCCTGTTTTGCTCCCTCCAGCTGGAAAATCACCTCTAATCTTACTGCCTTTTTTCCTGCTGTGCATCCTGCCAATTTAAACTGGATTTTGTTATAAACTGTAAATAACATGGCCAAGCATTTGATTACTTATTTTTTCTAGTTTGGTTCTAATTCTGCCCATTAATCTGGGTTTGGCTTGTATTTTCCATCCCATGGTTAGCTCACCCCTCTCTCATTTCATCCACAGTTCCTTCTTGCTGTGCTACACTTAGCCTGCTATCTGCCCTATTGTTCTTGCTGTTTTCACATGTGGTTGCTGAAGAGTCTCACTTCCCTTTGCAGTGGAAACATCTTTCTTACCCTACTGGGTACATGGAGGGGCCTGTGTTGATTTCCACATGTACAGCAATGTTGAAGAATTGATGCTGTCTCCCTCCTTGACATGTGCAGAGCCCCCGCCCGGAGTTTTGTCCACGTGTCTCTTAAGCTCTGTGTCACTGTGGAAGCATACAGATACTGCACAGTTGGCAAAATAGTCCTTGTTTTCTTTCTGGTGACTTCCTTCTTCAAGCTCCTGGTGTGAGTGTGGGCTGCTTGAAGGTACTCTGAGTGCCAAGGTATGTAAGGACAACCGCTTAGGTTGTTGTGTAGCACCTGGAGGCTCTCTGACACCATTTTCATATGCACACTGACAGAATTCCCTCTTTTTCCCCACGCTTTGCAGTACTCCTGGAGGAAAAGTGGCTGAGAACTGAGAAGACTACTTTGGAGTCTGCTGTGCCCCTCTTATACTAATGTATACATAGGGCAAATGCAGTGACAGTATGTCAGTGAAGCCATTGTGAGGGCTAAAATTGTTTGCAAAGTGACAGCCCATGGACCTACATTTCCAGTGACGGGAAAATGCCCTTTCTCTTACATTAAGGTCATGACTAACAAGCCTGCATCTGCTTGCCTGAGCTTTCCTGGGGCAGACTGCTTGTGTAGGTGGTGTCCTCTCCTGTTGCATGGCCTGCAGGATGAATCCTCATTTCACTCCTAGCGGAGACACACACAGCTGTGGAATTTACTATCATCAGCAATATGAAGTAGGTGGCAGTCACCTGTATTTGAATTTGCTGTGTGCTGTGATGTATTTAGGGTATGGATTGCATTGCATGAACGTGAAAATCAGAATCTTATCAGTTCTGTGTTTTATACAGCACCAGGTACATCTTACATGCACTTAAGCACACCTCTGCCTAGCCTTTTTTTGTGGTCTAGTTAACATTCACCTATAGAATTGCCCTCATTTTTCCTCTAACTTTATTGTTGTCCTAGCAGCACCTGTAGCCCCTTTTATCACTTAGATGTGTACTGGTAAGCAGAGCGCTTGCTGTTTCTAGCGTGTATGAACCATGCTCCATCTGAAGGTGACTGTGCTGCCTCCGGGATGCAGACCTTTCCTTCACAGGGCTGTACACAATGTTCCCAGTTTTGAAAGGCAGCTGCTTTCCAGCACCTGAGGAACATGAACCTCTGGTGCCATCCCAGGTAATGGAAGTTTCACACAACTGATGTAGGTCTTCCTGATCTCAGAGACTTATATGTCACTTTAAGATGGTCCCTTCCCCACCCCCAGCGTGGGCTGGATGTGTTCCTGCCCTAAAGAATATGTTTGCATTTTTTTCAGGGATGATGGCAGAAATTTGCCTTTTCTCTTGATGTTTTTCTATCAACTCTTTTAAATTTTGGCTAAAGAAAAATGTGGCAAGATACCAGAACTGGAATGTGGGATGCCATAGCCAACTGTATGCCGATACCATGTCTGTTGGGATCAAAGCATGCAGCACTTGGCTGAACTTTTTGCCTGTTCAGCTCTCTGTGTTTCAGTTTCCATGTTTCAGCTGAGGGCCAAGTGAAGTATCTCTGCGTACACTCACTTCACACTGAGCACCATGGGATGAGACCATTCATGTACATCCTGCAACTGGGAGCATGTCCCCATGGGCCACTGATGGGGCAGGCACATTGGAAATGTGTTTGTGGCACTTTCTGATCTTATTACCGGCAGTTTCAGAAAAGGACCTTTGAGCCAAGGAGCCTGAGCTCTTAGGGGTGATCAGACTGCTGGAGGAGGTCTAAACAGGCCATATGGGCTCCTGAAATGGGCTCCAAAGCTGTTGGACCTGCCCTGTCCTCCCCTGCCAGCACCATGTTCTCCTACAAAATCAAAAATAGGATACAGGAAGCACCAACACAAGGTGGGAGAATCAAGACCTCAATCCAATATACTAGTAATATTCATCACTGTACATCGCTGTACTGTTAATTACAAACATTAACTAATACATCCTCACAACACCCCTGAGAGGTAGGGAGGTAGTATTATCCCCGGTGTACAGACAGAGAAACTGAGGCACAGAGAGGCTAAGTGACTTGCCCAAGATGACACAGCAAGGCATTGGCAGATCCACAATAAGACTGGAGATGCCCCTTGTTCCCCACCCCATGCTAACCCCCCTAGGCAGTGGTGTCTGGACACAGGGAACTCAAGAGGTCCCTTCAAAAAGCAATGCCAGGACTTGTTGCCCATTAATAATTTTTATTTGCCTTTAATGAATTATTTCACAGTTTTTCCCTCAAACTGTACACCACGCTCTCACAGTTCATTCACTGTTCTGTGGTAGCCCACAGCCTTCTCCTGTGGCACTGGGACAGCTCTGCAGGGGTTTCATAGGGTGCTCTGTGCTTTCATTAAGAGGATGTTCAGAAACAGTTTTCACTGGCATTAGACTGGGAGCATGTGAGCTCTCACTGGAGGCAGATAACACACACTGGAGAAGCAGGCACAGGGAACTGATGGTAAAAAGGCATTTGCCATCCCCTATGAAATGACCGGTGACTCTCTTGGTTTCGCAGCTCTTCCAAGCTCCAGTGATCACTCAGAGCAGGAACCGTTTGTCTCCAACTTGCCTGGTCAGGAAGTCGTTGTTCTGGGGGTTGCTTCCCTAATAGGTAATAGGCAGTCAGCTCAGGACCAGAAAGGTCCCCAGCATGGCCTACTCCAGGTGTGTACACTGTCTTGGAACAAGGCTGGCTGTAGCCGTTGTGCTCTCCTGCCATGGGGAAGGGGTATTACCATGGTTGGCAAGCAGCCGTATCCAGTGTCTAAGTCTCTTTTATTTTCCAAACTGGGATTCAATGAAGATCAAGGGCAAGTGGATGGATAAGGAGATGAGGATGAGGCAGAGCAAACAGGAAAATCCACCAAATGAGCTTCTGGGAAGGAAATGTTCCACCTTGGGCACTTCAGCTGATGCGGCTTCATTTTCACAAGGCTTCCTTCTCTCTCTGGGAACATCTGCTGAGCTTCATCTCTGTCAGCTGAATATATCGTATGACATTGGTATCTGCAGGGAAAGAGCACACACATACATGTACAGTGGTTACAACTCCCTGTGGAAGACAGACACACAGCACCTTCATTCTTGGTGCATCACCTGGGGAGCAACATGGCTCCAGCACTGCCTGCAGAACAGCTTGGTTGGAAGGGGCTCTGAGCCAAACCCTGCAGCTTTGGTTTTGGAGAACCTGGTCTGATTTGTGCTTTCCATCCCTGTTGCTCACAATTTTGCCTCAGCTAGTTTTTACCTTCTCTCTGATCACTTTTGGTCAGCACAGTTGAACTCACACACTCGAAATTATCCAAGTCATCTTTGCCTGTTCTTGTGGAACAGTACCTCTGTTAGCTTCCCTTCCCTCAGTGCCTGCATGCAAGCATTTTGTGTAGTTATGCTCTGCCTTTTCACCCTCCTATTCCTTTTACAGCCTATTTCACTCTTCTCACATTTTTCTATGATGAGTTGAATTTGAAAGAGCATCCTTCACAGTCTCTTTGTACCCTTGCTTTCCTTAAATTTCATATTTGGAAGTCCTTCCACCATGACACTCTTATCTGCATTTTTGCCCTATGCTATATGCTGCAAACTGCCTTGTCTGTTCTACCTAATGAAGTCCCTAGGAGCAGAGAAGTTCCTTTAGAGAGCTGTGCAAGTGGTAAGCTGAGCCCTCTTTTTCCTTCCAGTGTTTCAGCTCCTCAACACACAGAACATGTGAGTTTTGTTTTACCTCCTGGCCTCAGCAATGGGGGAACCTGTTCACCCTGTGGCACAGGGTGATCTAAACAGGTATTTGTCTCCAGGCAGACCCCTTGAGTCTGCAGTTGTGGTCAATCCTTTCTCAAATTGTGTTGGTTTACTACCATGAGAGTGACTTCTCATACACACAGCACCCACATAATGATAAATCCATGTGGCATCAGAAGCAAGCAAGCAAAAAAGTAGCTAGTTTCACTTTATGTATTGATTTTAAAATGGATATTTCCTCACAGCTTTACTCAGACAGCCAGGACCAGCTTAGGCCATTATTAGATCTTCAGAGACCAATCTGAAGTACACTGCAGACCACAGTCAGAGGGCAAGCTTGTCTCCTCATCTAAACCACACCAGCTAGGGAAATAAGAGGTGCTTGAGCTTCCAAAGAGATGGACAAATTACTGGTAACATGTCCAGCACTGGCAAGTGTGGCTACTGCACCCGCCAAAGAAACTGTGGGTGCAAAGTTTCCTTTAAACATGAGCTTCCTTTAAACGTGAGTTGTGCCTTCAGCCAGAGATGAACCTGTGGGAGATGAATGGGTTTCGCCTCACACAGAGCTCTCCATAAACGTGCCACGGGGTAGCAGTGGGCTGTGGCAATGCTGCTGTGACCTCCCTACTGAGTCTTCTGCAAGTTAACTGCCTCATCCTGGTCAGTCCCAAGGGTGTGACTCCGTGATTAAGTTACTTGCCCCATGAGGGGCATTCTTACTGAGCCAAGAAGTTCTACTGTTGCTTGTGCAAGGCAAGCTGCAGCAGTGTCCTGGGCTGTTCATGCAGTAACATTTCATACAAGCCCAGCAAATTCTAAAGCAGCTTTTTAAAGAACAGAATTGGTTTTAGTTGTGCATCCTCCCCAAGTGAAGACATTTGGCTGAAGGGGTAGCCCTGAATGTTAGGCCTAAAATAAAATCAGTGCACGTGGCAGGCAAGTGACTGACTTCCAGTAGGGTAAAGGCAGTACAGGCAGCGGAGGTCTTGCTGTGCTGCCTGTGCCTCCATGCAGCCTCTCTGCTCCATGCCCTTCCAGGCTTTGATGGCTCTGGGAACACATCCCTGCTGCTGAGGTTCACGTGCTGAACGTCTGCCTGGTACAGGTGATAAGTGATAACTGCACAAGCATCACAGGAAATCACTCCTGCCTGGACCTGCAGGGACTCAACGCCTGGCTGGGGTGGAGGTGGGTTCAATGCATAACTGGGGAATGAAATGTTGCCAACTCCCTTTGGCTTGCAGGTAAGGGAGCTAGCTGCTGATGGCACAGCTTCACTCACTTGGGAGATTTCCACACACCTGGGAAGCCAGGGGCAAAGTAAGGTGTAGCCTGATAGAGTGTGGGAGATACTCCCATTGCAAGCTAATTATAAATCTCACAGGCAGGGTTTGGCTTGTTTTGCTTTCTTTTTGAGGGCCAGTATTTCACCAATGAGAGTAGTACTCTGTTAACAGAAGTGGAGCCCTGTCTTTGTCTTTTCCATCAAATAGTATTGCATCATACTTGCTCTGCCTGCAGAAGTATTTCAAAGCTACATGTAAGTGTTAATGAAGACTCATCTCTCGGTGAGGAAGGAGTGATCCCCTTCTGCTAATGTAAAATAACAGGTAAGGACAACTCAGATGAGGGGTCAGATGCATACAAAGAGATGGTGGCAAAGCTGCAATGGGAACATGTCACCTGGCTCTTAAGACTGTGCCTGTGTTCTTGTGCAGACTGGCCTCTTGCCATTTTAAAGGTCATTTCTGCTTCTTCCTGTGGCCTCAGAGTCCAGTTGCTTATCTGTGCTGCACACACTGTGGCCTGGATTTTGTTCCCAGGACTTCTGAGTCGCAGGGGTTCAGGAAGGCAGCTCCTGAGGTCGGCTCTGAGCCTGCTCTATGCAGCATGGGAAACCTGGCTTGTATGTGCAGTCCATGTGATGTCTGAACACCAGCTTTCAGCACCGGGCCAGCAGAGACTTAACTGGGTGCTCAATACTACCAGGTCTCAGTCCTGGTCTCAGTCTCAGTCTCAACCTCAGTCAGTACCTACTGACCAACAAAATGCAGCCCCACCAGTGGAAAAGAGCTGAATGGCACTTCAAGGTAAGGAGTACGTTTGGCTGCCCATGCTGCACCAGCCTCTGAACACAGAGTTCATGGAGGGCTGCGTGTACACTTTGCACAGCTTAACAGCGTTTTCCCTCTCCCTTAGATTAAGGAGGGTTATACAATTATCTTGTGTTATTCCCATTAGTTTTTGTGATTTTTGTTTGGCGGTAGCATAAGAAATCAGCTCAAACCCAACCTTCACCCTTGACAGACAGTAAACAGCCATAAGGGATTTGCTGTGGCAACAGCCATTTAGAACAGTAAAGCTCTTTGCTAGCTAATTCCTCTTTACCAGTTAAAATCTCCCCTACCAAAGAGAATAACTGCCAGTGATTTGTGCCAAAAGCATTCCTTACTAGAAAAAACAAAAAGAACACGTAGAACATGACTGTAATAAGAACCAAGTGCTTTCACCAGTGAGCCTAATGAAACCTCAGATACAGGAAAACAATTGCATTTTGCAGATGGAGACTGAAACTGGAGATGCTGGCTTATTCCAGATACAAAATAACTCTTGATAGCGTTGCCTGATTCCTACTGCTGTGTTTTAACAGGCGCATCCTTTCTTACCATATGTATTCACTTCTTTCCCCCTAATACCCTTCAATTTTTCCATAATAATAAATAAAACAGTGGAACAATGGCCTTTACTGGTCTAACAATAAGAATTAAGAGTCTCTGATGCAGAGCTGAAGGCCAGAACTGTTTTCTGTATACATTAAGGGCCTTTGGGGATACTTTCTGGTGTGTTTTTGTAGAAAGCTGTGGTATTTGAGGCTGTTGCTGTTGAATAAATTAGTATTTATTTCAAGAAGCAATGTGGAATACTAAATAAACAGTATCACATGGTGTGTGGGGTGGGGGAGCACAGAAATACATATTTTAAAAATGGAAGCAAAGTAGCTCAGCTAAAAGGACTTTTTCACATCTGAGCCTAGCCAGAACCTCAAGGTTAGGACAACTTCTATCTTCCACTGACTATTTTTCTTCTGCATAGGCTTCTCCATTTCCTGGTTATGGCAAGGGCTGAAAGCAGAAGGGCGCACTGTAAACTAAAATAGGTTAAACTGAGCTTTTGAGCACATTTGCTGAGGGAGTGTGGGGTGTACAGCTGTGCTGTCAGACTGCCTGGAGCCCATGGCCAAGCGCAGCAGATGGCACCAAGCACTCTTGTGGAAGAGGAAGGAGATCCCAGCACACACCTAGGCGCATCCTCCCTGGTGCTGCTCCAGGGCACAGGCACCACAGGAGCCCTGCAAGGCCAATGCCTGTAGCATGGTCAAGCACACTCAGCTCTGACAGCCTTCCCTGTCTGCTCTAGCTCAATGAACATAAACTGCACTGTGCTCTGCCAAGACCTAAGCTCTCTCCTGTTTCACACCCAGGTCTCACTTTTCTCTCTTGGGTTCAGGTGGAAAAGCTGCACTCTGGGGCTTCCGTTTTCCTTCCTTATGATCCTTTAATTTTTATTTGAGTATTACAAAATTCCTTTCTTCCAACAGAATGATTTAAACCATAGTGTGGTTTTATCCCCCTGTTAGCATAAAGCTAAGTTGTTTGAATGTATAATTTCTTTGCTGTCCCAAAATGAATTGCTGGGTTTTGACACACAGATGACAGATACTTGAACAGGCAAGCGGCTGATTTCACAGCAAAAGTTAAAGTGTCCTGACAGATGCTTTGTGAGTAAATGCCTGTCTCTGATCAAATACTAGCCCTTTATTGACATGGTGGAAGGGATGGCTATTGAGGATTAAAAATATTCTCCTAGCTTTGCTAAGGAGAAAAGCATTTTCTTGGAGTTAGAAAATGTAATGGTCAGGATATACTCTTCCCCATCCAGCTTTCTTCTTCAAAAATAAACAGCGGAGGGAAAGAGAGGCAGGATCCTCTCCACACAGGCGGCATTCCAGCAATACTGTCATCTTCCAGGTTGTGCTGCAGCCTCAGCAATGGTTATAATCTTTGGGCACTGAAACCTTGCTGCACTACATGAGAGTGCCTGAAGGGGCGTAGAGCTAAGGATACAGTGAGTCATGCTCATCCCTGTGGAAATCAATGCAATTGAGTCAGGAACACACTATGGCTGGTGAAAAGAAATGCAAAAGCACTGAAAGCAAAGCCACATCCCTACTCCCCCGATACCTGTTGGCTGGCGGGATCTCGCCTCTTTCAGGTAGTAGAGGGCCTTGTTGAAGTCACCCAGGTGGTAAAATGCCACTCCTGATCGATAGAGTGCCTTGAAGTTCTCTCCTTCTTTCTGAAGCACTTTGAGGCAGTACTCCTTGACTCGCTCATAGTTCACCAGCTCGGCCTGGAGGAGGCAGGCTGCAGGGGATGGGGATGATGGGCAGACAGACAGACAGACAGACAAACGGGAGAACATTAGTGCTGTATTTCTTCCTGCTCCTGCAATTTGCACGGGGGAAGAGAGCAGCTTAGGTGAGGGAAATGACTCAGACTCGTGATTCAGAAAGGGTGCAGTCATAGGGATTGTTTGCCAAATCCAATTGTTCGCCATTTAAATACCAATGCTTCTATTTTTGGCACTGCAAAGTGAAGGGATTGTGTTTGTTCTGGGGTGGGGGACGATGTAAACTTCCCTCCATAGATCAGGAATACTGTATGGTCTCATAGCAGTGACTGGCTACAGTTGTAGTAAAATCAGTTCTTGGACTGAGGGCTGGAGCTCAGGAAAGCACAAAAAGGCATTCAAACTGTTATCTGACAAGGGAAATGGGGGCTAAACTGGATTGAATTTTGTATTTGGCTTAATCCAAGGCTGTTAGATTTAGATTTACAAATAATATATAAATGCCTTTTATCCAGGGGGACCTTGTATGGAGTTTTGCTATAGGAAATGACAAGGGGCTCTGCTCTGCTGGAATGTGCTGGTAGCAAACCAGAGACACCTGGAGCTGTAGGAACAAATGTGTTACACTGTGCGCTTTCTGTAAAGCATTGCAACACAAGTTCATCCCGAGAGATTAGCTCTGCTGACTTTCTAAAGGAAAAGGTAAGCACCGTGAAGAAGCTGAGGGCTCTGCGTGCTGCAAGATAATTGTTGCATAAATGTCAAGGAGCTGAATAAAATTCACATAGTGAGTTTCCCACAACTAGGAGCAAAATAAAGAGGAAAAGGGGAGATCCTTGAGGCAAGCTTTACAGCCCTGTTCATGGCTTTGTGTAGTACTTACCCATGGGCTACACTTCATTAGGTGTACTGAGAATTAAGAATGGTTTTGGAAATACTGACAAGAACAGGACACGGTGCGGTCACATCTCTGGGGAAATGTACTGTCTGTGCACCCACCTGACGCTGCAATCCAAGGCAACTTTGGGAATGACACAACCTGGGGAAGGCAGGCAGGATGCCACTGCAAGGATCAGTTCAGAGGCTGGCAGTGACAAGTGCCAGCACATAGAGAGAAATTTCCCATGGCAGGTGGTGTTACTCAGCATGTCTCTGGCAAGGAGGAGACTCACTGCTCCTGGAAATCCAAGTTGTCACAGTTCAGGTCTTACCAGTGAAGACAGACTTCATTTTTTGCATGGTTAACTGCAGCCTTCGGCTGAGAGGATAGGATGCTGGGTCAGAGATATGACCATTCTTGATCCCCTTCCCCTGCACCCTAAAGTAAGCTCTGTACCCTCTCTGTACCTCACTTCACGTTTCATGAGCAGGAGGTTGGCCAGGTGATATTTTGAAATTCCTTCCAATCTAAATTAGTCTGAGCATATGGATCAGTTAACATGGTCAGAATGCATTCCTAATCCAAGTACACATTTAAAGCTTAAATAGCTAACTGGGAACAATCATAAACAGGCTTTTATCAGTAGATAAATGATGGTACAGATGTATTGAGCAAGGACTGCAAAACTATCCCCACTGCAGGTATGTTTGGCTGAGTGACACGGTAATTACCAACAACAGCTTTGTCCCACTTGCTTTAATGATGGACTCTCAATATTTTTAACAGCTCCTGCCATTAAAGTGCATAGGTATTTCAAAGGCATCTGATTGCTTGCTTATTTGATTGCCAGTTAAAACACACAGGTGTTTCTAATCTTAGCAGCATTTCCTTATCCAGAATTTGTCCCTTCCTATTTGTCAAACATTGATTTTTCTCACTCTGTTTCTAATGGAGCTTGAAATGACTGTGCCTTGTTTTCCTTTATTTTTCAAAGCTATTAAAAAGATGGCTGTGTAAATTTGCTGCTGGCTCCACAGCCCTGGAAACGGGATTGCTTTGTTTATCTGCTGACCAGTAGCATGTACAGCAGTGGCAGTAGCTTTCTGCATGCTGCCAATCTGATTCAGCCTTTCACGTTCTGTGAAATTGCTTTTCAGAGAAACTGAGGGGGGTGGATTTCAGTCTCTCTGTTCATTTATCACTTGGTGTTTCCAGTCACAGTCATAGAAAGGATTCTGTGAAAAATGATAGGCAGCCTGTTCATGTGTATTAACTCACTAATTCCATACTGGACTTGCTTCATGGATTGGTTTAAAAGAAAAGTTTCCCACACCCGGTTAACTTGTAAATCCAAATGGGCTCCCAGATACCCAGCTGGGTTCTCTACATGACTCACAGTAAAGATTCTGCAGGGCATCTCCAGTAGCCATGCACACTGCAGAGACAAGTCAGTACCACATGGCTAGAAGGAGAGATGTGTGTTTATCTGAACAAAGCGAGCAGATGGATGTGCATGAAACAGTTCTGCTGGAAGAGTTGGCCATTTGGAGAGCCAGCGCTGGAAGAGGCTGCTGGAAAATGAACTTGGAGGGAGTATCTCTCTTATAAATATTTAGATGTGCATGCTTTCAGTCCTTGGTGGACTGAAATGATCTTAATGGACTGTGATTCAATGCAAATATTGAGGCTGTTAATAACACAGCTTTCAGAAACGGAAGAGACATGGAACCCTTGTACTTCCTACTTAAGTCAGGGGAGAGTTGTTTTGAAAACATGTTGTTTTCCTAAACAGACATGTGCTTCTCTCTCTGGGAGTGTTTGTTTATTGTCTCAGCACTTCATCACCCTCCTCAGCTCATAATATCATTTTGAGGAACAAAAGAGTGAATCCTTCTGAGGAACAGAGCTCACTCAAAGAGACTGAATCCAGGAGGTTCCTCACACTTTCTTGAAACTGAACGGGCTTGATCCCATATAGCACCATTTCTAGAAGCTCTCTGATGATTAGAAGGGTGTCCTTTACTTGTAGATGTAAACCTATAGTTACCTGTTCTCTGCAGGTATCATTGTGATACAGCATCTGGTGGCTATATCTCTGCACCTCAAAATGTAGGGTTGTCCTGCTTCTCTGCAGAGTGAGATGGTTCTCATCATACTTGGTCATCATTCTCAATCTGGCAACTGATTTATCGTGGCAGCTTAAGTGATAAGTAACTCCTAATTTTTAAAACTATGTATGTCACATGGTGATGAAGAGTCCCTATCTGATATAAATAAGCCATCGGAAACTACTGGGTGAAATGTGCAATGGGGAGGGTGAACAGGTTAACGCTATTAGCTCCAATGGAGGCACCCTGTCCCTCATGTTTCCCAACTGACCGCTGATGTTTAAGCAAGGAAATAGGAAGTTTGGCTGGTTTTCTTCATAAAAGGAGGGTTAAGCCTGATTTCTAATTTGTGGACTCAATCTATGCCAGTCAGTTCCATGAGATGCAGCAATTTGAGTAGTGCAGTACAGATCTGGTACCAGTAGATAACTGTACTGTTACAGCTAATTTGTGTGGCCCTGCTCAGCACAAAGTTAAGTAAAACAAAGATTAGAGCATCTGTAGAGTCAAAATATGTCATACCTTTAAACTTTATTGGTAGCTATAGTTAGTAGTAGCTGGGAAGATGTAACTAAATCCTGGCATTTCAGGGATCTGGATTCTGTCTTATTGCACCTAGAATTCTTTTTCAAATCCAGAGTATCTTTCAGGTAGATATCTAGGTTTGACAAGCATCAAGGAGAAAAGACCCATGACAGCCCTCTTCTTCCAAAGCCTACTCGCTTGTTTAAGAAATGTCACTACATTTCTATACTGATCTTTTTTGTCTGTTCAGCTGCAATTATTAGCCACTGGTGTATTACTAGCTGCACCTTTGCTACCCTGAACGGCTTGTGTTTCCTTGTTGCACTGGTACTCTGAGACTCAGATCAAGTCACTCTTTCACCCTTTCTCTCATAGCCTGAATCCTAGAATCCTAGAATCATAGAACAGTTAGGGTTGAAAAGGACCTTAAGATCATCAGGTTCCAACCCCCCTGCTATGGGCAGGGATACCTCGCACTAAGCCATATTACCCAAGGCCTCGTCCAACCTGGTCTTGAGCACTGCCAGGGATGGAGCATTCACAGTCTCCCTGGGCAACCCATTCCAGTGCCTCACCACCCTAACAGGAAATAATTTCCTCTTTATACCCAATTTAAACTTCCCCTGTTTAAGTTTTAACCCGTTGCCCCTTGTCCTATCACTACAGTCCCTAATGAAGAGTCCCTCCCCAGCATCCCTATAGGCCCCCTAAAGTGGGCCTATAGGGAAGTGCCTGCAGTCTCTCACTGAAAACCTCATATTTTTCAGCTTTTCTCACTTTTATAGCTGTTCTCTGAGCCCTCAAAATGAAGTTCAGGTGGAAGTGCTGTCAGTTAGCATCTTACCAGAGAAACCTCTTCTGTGTGAATACCTCTGTGCGTTATGCAAATAGCTCAGTTTGGCCGAAACTTTTGGCTTCTGATTTTGTCTGAGCTAAGAACTAAGTCTGGAGGTAAGATGTAAGGGTTTTAACATGGAGATTTTGAACAACTATGTGAAGAGCCTTGCCTACATGGCAATTTTCATCAAAGGATAAATCTGCATGCCAGAACAATCCTCCAGACATAGTTTATACCAGTGGCTAAGCCCCCTCTGTAGGCAAGGCTCAAGACCTACCCATGTTATAGAACACTTAGGAGGGTGAGCCAAATTACCATGCAAACAATGTTAGTATATCCCTACCCTGTGGCATGTTCCTTGCGCACAGCACACTGTGTTAGTCATAACAGGAATTCCATTTGCTGTTGTTTTGGGAGATGAAGATGTCCTTGCCCTACAGGAATATCTTGGGTTGCACATTCATGTTCCACGAACTCCTGTCTTGTTTGCAGTCACTCAGGTAAGCTTGTGGCACTGCATGTTTTTAAGATTGCCTTGGTCCTTCTGATGTAGGAGTCAGTTGCTTGTAATTTTACTGGTCTTGTAAGTTTTTTGACTAAAATATTCCATGTGCCATGACTGGTTTAATGTCTGCTTGTCAGCCAAGACTGACCAGGTATTTTTGAAAAACAGGCTAGGGAAACATACCTTATTTTTCCCTTATTAAAGATCTCTGGTGACTGTCTCTTTGGATTTGCCTCATGCCCTCTCATCCTTTGGCTTTGGAAACTGAAATCTGGCAGATATAATTTGTGTCAAGCAGGTGCCTTCTGTTATCCCCAGGGTAATCTATAGCTGGCCAACTGATAACCTTCTGAAAATAAAACCAGTATAGGACTGCAGATAGTTCACTGTAGAGATGCTCTAGAATTCGGTACCCATATCCTTTGAATACTCAGTCCACCCTGGGTACAATCTGAGCTAGGAAAAAGCAGGGATTTGGAAACTGAGAGTGCAAAAATGTCTCTTACTGGCTCACTGGTCACAGGAAGACAGAAGAGCAGAAAGTGGAAACCAAGCTGAGAGGGATTGTCTCAGTTATGACAGAAAGACAGGGAGACATGCTTGCAAGGGAAGGAGACTGGGACTGAGAGCCATAGAGGGACAGAGACACAGAACTGTGAAAGGGGTGTATGAGTGGGGAGTTGAGGTCTTTTGTGGAGGCTGAGAGGAGAAGGGTAGTTCAGAGTTTGGATCAAGGTGCTAAGGACACAGACACAGTGCAGCCAGCTCTTGGGACCATGAGAAGCATTTACAGCAGTGAAATTGAAGCAGAGCAAACTAATCTCCCTATGTGGCAGCAGCTCCACTAGCAGATCACTTAACCACCATCACATCTGTGCTCTGAATCATCTTTTTCTCTGCTGACTATATACATCAAGGGATACTAACCTGCAATACTGAAAGCTAGCCCTTGAAATATTCCCTGGAGACTGGAACAGGTATCTTATGCAAGAGCTAATAGCAAGCCATTTGCTTGAACCACTCTTCATATACCCATGCAGAAGGGTCTGAATCCAAATGACCTTTGCTTTCCTTTTGTTAAGAACAGCCTGGAGAAGAGAAGCTTTGTAGAGACCTCATAGCAGCCCTCCAGTATCTGAAGGGGGCCTACAAGGATGCCGGAGGGGGACTCTTCATCAGGGATTGTAGCAATAGGTCAAGGGGTAATGGGTTCAAACTTCAACAGGGGAAGTTCAGGTTAGATATAAGGAAGAAGTTCTTTACTGTGAGAGTGGTGAGGCATTGGAATGTGTTGTCCAAAGAGGGGTAAATGCTCCATCCTTGGCAGTGTTCAATGCCAGGTTGGAAAGAGCCTTAGATGATATGGTGTAGCATGAAGCACCCCTGCCCATGGCAGGGGACTGGAACTAGATGGTCTTAAGGTCCTTTCCAATTCAAACCATTCTATGGTTCCAACCCTTAGACTGAAAAACAACCACAGCCTGTATTGATTTGTTTAGTTGCAAAGCAGAGAGAATTATCTAAACCCATTACTGCTTAAATCTGAACTGAATATTCCCTCTTTACTGTATCTATTCTTGTCTACTGCTGGAGCTTAGCCTATGTGGATTATTACTCCTTAGTGATTGCTAGGTACTCCAACCACTACAGACTCAATGTGTATTTCACAAACTGACAATGTCATTCCCAGAAATAACCACAAGTAAACTCTGCAAAATACTTTGCTTTCTGATATGATCTTGTCCTAAGTATAGCAGCCATTAGCTTGCTTAAAATATGTTTAAATTGCAGGAAGATGGTGCATGTTCTTGGCTCTGGTTCTGCTCTGGAAAACATGATGAATGCTTTGATATAACTGCTTCACGGCTTTATTCAGACATTTGATTAAGACCTTTATATATCTTTGAACAGACTTTATTCTCATGTCTTTAAGACTTGAAATAACAGGGCAGACTAGGAGAGTCTTGTGCTTCCAATACTTCAGAAGTCTTGGCATCGCTTATAGTGATGCTCTTCTTCAGAAAAGTGAAAACGCTGATAGTGACAAGTTCTGGTTTGATGTAAGTGTTTGGGAACAAAAATTATTGGAATATAACAACAACAACAACAACAACAAAGAAAACAGAGAGGGGGAAAAAAGGAAAAAAAATATTTGTCTTTGAATAGACAGCAATCTTCTAACCATGCTATAAATGGATGTATCATTAATCTTTGCATGCTGCAGTCTGTGTAAATGGTGTTTACAAAGAGCCCATAGAGCTTGCAGTGTCCACTGGAAGAATCAAAAGGGATGCCATTACCACGTGAGACTGAAAATTTCACTGACGTTTTAGTAATCTAAATTATAATTGATTTCTAAAATAAATCAGGCAGAATGTGCTTCATAATATGATGCTGAAAGTGTAAAGGGTTATCTTAGTTTAAAAGTAAATTTGGACTTGAACTACCGTAATTTTAATGTACAGCATAAAAAGATCTGAACTACTGGAATGTGTATCCGAATTTCTCTGAAGTTAAAGTTCTTGATCCTGAGTGTGCAGACTGCACAGGCTATGTGTGGATGGCACAGCCCAAACTTTAATTTACATTTTAGCCTGTGTTAAAATTTTTAATCCAGATTGGCACTAAAAGGAGCCATATAACATGCAGGAGTGTAAGAAGCCCACACAAAGGGAACGGAGCAGAGGTGGTAAAGCATCCATATCTGCACTGAACTCCATGTGTGCTGTGCCTTTCAAGAATGCAACCCAGAATTCCTCAAAAGAGGATATTTAAAGCTTTTTTATTTTTTCCAGAGAAATGCTGCATGCAGTTTCACTACTAGGCTGAGACACTAATTAGGATCTGCAGTTTCCAAACAATCTCTTCCATGAAATATTTCTCTTCTCTCTCTATAGTCCAAGCTTGCAAACAAAGAGGATTTTCTGGCTTCTCACCAATATAAAGCTAATTATAGACAGCTTGATAATGTCTGGCAATAATCTGATCAGCTGACTCCTAGTTCCCGGACAACCTTAATGGGATGAAAAGGGAATATCAGAATGTCAGTACAGCTTTACAGCTAGTGGCTCTCATTTATTCCTCTCCAGGTACCAAAACTGCCTAAACATGCCCGTATGTTTCTGCTTGCAGGGAAACGTGTGGAAAATTAAAATCCAAACTGTACGACAGGTTGTCTCTCTCCATAGGGAGGGATTAATGCTAAATGAGGTGTGGATCCACAAATGTTTGGAGAGCCCAAAGAAAGCCACCTTTTCCAAGCAGCCTTCCCCTTCTTCTCAGCCTGTCTCTCAATTTCTAGATACCAGTTGTTCCTCCCCATCTTGCCTGCTTGGCCATGCTTTCCTTCCAGTATGTAGCATGGTCCCCTTCAGTTCTCTGCTGCTCCCGAGTCCTTCATACCTCTTCCAGAAGAAAGACCCTGCCTCCATGTTCCAATTAGCTTTTCTAGGAGAGAAAGAGACTCTCTTTCTTCAGTAGTGACTGAAGTATGCTGATGCTTCCACCGTCATGCATGCGAAGAGGTATCTAGCAGTTCTCAAAGGAGCTGCTGAGCCTGTGTCAGGCTTTTTGTGGCTGGCAGCCCACCCTGGGACTCTGCCTACTGCCATCCCTTGGAGAGCACAGGGCTGACAACAAAGAGATAAGTAACAGCTAATGTGAGCTGTCAGAACACATCAGTTTGAATTTAGTCTGTGATAGGTTGATCAATCTTGAAGATAAAGGAGAAACAGTAGACATTGCATATCTTGGCTTTTACACTACTCAAATGACAAATTTTAGTGACATTTTCTTGAGTAAATTGGAGGACCACAGTCTAAATGAATAGACTTAATTCTGTTAACAAAGTGAAAGACAATATTAAGTAGGGTTCTGCACTGATCTGTCCTAGGCCCCATGGTATTTGGTATTGTCAATAAAGACCTAAATGACAGACTGCAGACTGTCTTGTCAATTTGCAGATAAAACCAAGATGTGAGGAGCTGACATATGTTGGAAAACGGGTAGAATTCCAAAGAATGCCCACAAACTGGTCATGT